CAATTACAATATACATTAAGAGGGCCGCCCAAATAACTAAATGGGGTTGGATCGGAACTCAACGTTATAGCCGTCCGGGCCAGTTAGGCCTTTAAAGCTCTATATATAATCGCTTTCCATTTGAAATACCGTTAGCTGTTTGTCTGCCTGCCCGACTGGCCTGTCTTCCACACCCGTCCGACTGGCCAACAACTTACCTTTTTGAAATGCATCAGCGTATCCGAACTGTTTTCGCACATTTCCGTGATGAGCGTGACGCCGGTAATAAGGATGCCTGCATGAAATGATAGGTAAAGATTAGAACATGTGTTTGTTTATGGCTGGCATCAATCTAACCGTGATTCTTCTCGCTGAGCAGCGAACGTGTGGCCGGCAGAAAGATCTCCATCAGTTCGGGCACACGGCGTATGACTCGGAATGCGCACAGTGTCGCCTTCTTGCGGATGTACGTGTTGGGCGACTTCATCAGGCGCTCCACCTCGCTGGCCAAGTCACGTGCCATTTCCGGCGATGCGATGGCGCCCAGTGTGCACAGCGCCAAGCCCACCACGAACTGCGTCGAGCTGTTCAAATCACTGCCAATAGCAAAAGCAAATAGCAAACAAAATAAATTCATATATTCAAATAACTTCAAAACTAAGTTTATTAGCTAATTGTAAAGACTAAGTTTATGGGCAATTTGTTTGCCCAGTCTAGCATTCATCAAGTTATCAATAATCGTAAGTGACTAATATAGTTTAGCTACGCTTTTGGCATGAAAAACTGGAATTTTGTAATCAAACCGGATTGTAATAATGTATAGCGTTAATTCTGATCAATTAAACCGATTTATATCTCTTTGTATATCTCTTTGTACAGTTCTTCAGAAGTCTTATGCAATATGCTGAATTAGTATATCTTCCTCTAAGGCATGCATACCATAGGCCGAGCTTAGACCGACCCCTAACCCCTTAACAAATTGAGTTGACTCAGCTGCTGACTATGTTTAGTATATAGTATTTTAAATAAGTACAAAGCTAATAAAGCTGTACGTGTACTTTAATTGTCGTCATTAGTGCTAGGGAAATCACATAGAAGCGGTGCATTAGAGGCAGATAAACAGAGGGAGAGAGAGAGAGAGGAAGAGGAAGAGGAAGAGAGAGAGAGAGAGAGAGAGGAAGAGAGAGAGAGAAAGAGAGAGAGAGACTAGTGTTTGTTTGAACCCAAAAGTTCCACGACCTGCCTTATAATGATAATGAAATCTCAACTAAACCCTTTGAGAACTGGGTCTGCTGTTCTGCTTTCTAGTCGCTTCATATTCTTGCTCCCTATTAGGTTTTTAAGCAAGTTAGGTTCTGCGGGAGGTAGCTTTAGGTTTGTTTTAGCCTGATCCGTATCTCGCAGCTGTGAACTAACAGCTGGGCAACAAGTTTCCATACGTCTGCTAGGGGCTATCCATTTGGAGAATGTTGAACTTACTTTTTTAAACAATTTGTAATTAGCAAATGGACATCTTGACGCTCATCCAGTAACAGCATAGCACCCAGATAGCCAATTCGTTTATCTGTAAAACGCGTGCTGGCCGTCAGTTTGAGGCACTCCAGTTGGCCAAAGTGCGCCGGGTAGCCGAGCATGTGTATGTACAGCAGCTTGGCAATGTTGCGACAACTGCATGCAGCAACAATGAGCGAGAGAGCGAGATGGAAAACGGGTTAAAATGGTTGAGAACAATTATTAATGCAATTTACTGCCCACTCACCGCCAGACGGAGTCCTCCTCCCGGAATGTGCTGCGTATGTAGGCGCACTCTTTGTTAACCACGGCCCGCTCCTCGGCTGCGGTGCGGGCGGCGCGTATCTGTCGTATAAGATCACGCAGTCGTGTGGGCGTCGGCATTCTGACTGCACGTGGGCGAAGCAACAAACAACAAAAAGAAAACAAGCAGACAGTTAGTTGAAGATGGTGAAGCAATTGCTGATGGGGCTGTATGGAGGCTGCTTGCTTACCTCTTTCGACGGCCTCTGTGAATGCCTGGCGTATGGTGGCCATATTGAAGGCTGGATTGAATCTATTGAGCGGAGAAAAAGTGTATAAAAATAGCTTGATTAGTACGTAATATAGAGATGTGGGCATAAATACATATATATATATATATTAACCACTGTATATATTTATGTAGGTACATGAATAATATATATATATATATATATTTTAGAACTGCATACCCATGCTCGGAATTCATTGTGAGGCGTTGCGGCTGTGAAGCACTTTGGTTGTGGCACGCAGACTAACTGCTTTTGCTGTTGATGGTTCTTTATCTTGATTTGCTTCTGCTGGTGCTTCTTCTTCTTCTACTACTTGCCGGCCTATGCTTTTAATTTTACATTCGGTTGTTATTGTTGTTGTTTTATTTATTGTTTTTACAGCTGCGTTGGCGAGGTGGCAACCACAATCAGTTTCGAACTTATTCGCTCGCAATTAGATCACTTTGCAACACTCGCTGCACAGCATACGAATAACGATAAACAACAACAGCAAGAACAACAATAGCAACAACAATATCTGTGACAGCCGGCCGCTATTCAATTGCAGTTATTTCTCCACTTGTCACACTCTCATTTCATTCTCTCTCACTCACTCTCCCACAGATATTTGATAGTTGCTCTCTGCGAAAGTGTTAACATTGCACGTCAAACTCCAGTTTACTCTCTCTTTCTCGCTCCGTCGAAGTTGCTTGGCTTTATCATTATTAACACAAATCTCAGTTCACAAACAAAATTAGTAATCAACTTATTTCCCTTATGAACTGTTAATACATATATATTAGGTGCGTGTGTGTGCGCATACTGAGGCTTAAACAAAAATCTAAATATGTACATGTGCATATGATCTGTCGCCGTTCAATGCAAACAAAAAGCTCTATGCTCACTCACACAAGTACACACGGGCTTACAGACATTTGTGCAAATACATATATTGGTCATATGCATGGACATTGAAGTGCCTTTAAGCTGGCATCAGTTACATACGAATGTATGTACGTACAAACATACATTCAGCTGTATTTATGTAGCTGCCAGTGCTAGCCAACGAAGCGCAGCGTAGCACAAGCTGAAAAAGTAGGCTAGGTGTGTAGGGTGTTAATTAAGACGACAAAAATGTGGAGGCTCACACAAATGCAAAACCATTTGCGGCTGCTGCCGCTGATGAAAATGAAATGATTAATTCAGTTGTGTGAATAATGCGAAAACCGCACTTGAAGCATGAACCGAACCGAATCGACGATTAGCGCGCATTGAGTTGACAGCAACACACAGCACACACACACACACACACTCACACGCGGGCTAGCAAACATCAAGAGAGGCGTATTAAAATCCAATTGGAATAAGAATATAAATTCTAATTACATTCTTTCTTGAAGAATTTCAATTATGAATAACAAATAAGCAAGGCGATCAAAGTTTCCAAATTAATCGTCAACAACTAAATCAGCTTATGCTTAAATGTCTAAAAGGCAGTCACAGTCACCAGTTATGGCTAAAACCAAAACAGCTGCCGTCATTCCTGCTTCATATCGATAATTAGATATCGATATGGCTCAATGGGCCATGTATCGAGTGCATTGCATGCGTTGCAAAAAAAATTCTTTTTTTTAAATCACGAAAATACACGTATGTATTTCTCTATTTATGTACACACTCACTGTAACCTAAAACTTATTATTGTAAAATATTGTATTACTTTCTGCTCTTGTTGAATAAAGTAATTTCATTGGAAAGCTCAAGTACACATATCACATGCATATACACACGCACACATACAGATACATGGGACACAACACACACTCAATCACCCACTGAGTTCAGCGTATGCTTCTTTTTGGCCACACGGAATATAAACCATAAATTAATTGAATGTTGGCCACAAACACAGCACGAAGCTTTTTCTTGTTGCTTGATATTTTGCTCGCACTAAATTTAAACGTTTGCTTTATAGCCACCTGCCGCCTCCGACTTCCAATGCAAATTTTAACAACGCGACAAAAATGCTCGTAGAATGTTGATGATGAGCGCAACAGTAGTAGTAATAGTAGTTGTAGCAGTAGTGAGAGTGAGAGAGCGCTAGCAAGCGGTTGACATTTCATTTTGACATTAGCAGTGCTGCTATCGCCAGCTCGCTTTTATCGATAGTCCTATTGGCCAAGACGATGTATTCGCGCATAACGTCATTTTTTGAAATAACAAATCCCCCAACGATTATTTTGCAACTCACCTGCGATTGTTTTCCGGTGGCAAAACACTCCAATCCTGTTCATAGTACGGATACATGCTTGCAGCGTGGCTTTTTCGCTTGTCCCACTAGCAAACAACAGTGGACAGTAACTAAATACACAAACGCTTACATACACAGTAACTCCGCACAGTTACTGACACTGGAATAATGATAAGCGGCTACGGTGTTCCACATAGACAGTGTGCGTACGTGTTATCTAATGTACATTTATAAGAAATTACGGTTCCAATCCCCTCTACAAACACCCACACATGCACATACACACGCGTGCGCGGAATGCTATTGCTCGCTGCGCTTTAAGATTTACCTAGACTGGGTAACCATATTCACATGATTAACAGCGTATAGAAGCTCTCGGATTATCGGAACTAGGACAGGAACAATTATGATGAGCGGCCCGCGCAACCGTAACTCTGGGAAAAGACTAAAATAAAATGAAGCTCGGATCCCTCAGTCTTCGACGCCTGCTGCACAGTTCAGGTAAGCGTTTGCATTTGGTTGCGCATAGATAAACTACATGCGATAACTGTGGTAGTAGACGCTCGCATTGGTGGCATGGCAGCTATGGACATGGTATAGCATTCGCTCTGAGCTCTCGATGAATACACAGAAACTACACTAACTTATCTTTTAACTGATAACCAGCAAAAACCGTGAGAACGTTATACACACATACATGTCTATAATAAAAAATATTTCATTTATGGATAAGTAAACTCGTCACCGACAGTGCTGCTGATAAGTCAATGACAGGTGAAAGCCGTTGCGCGCGGTATATATACACGTATATATACACATATATGTATATCCAGTTTTTGTTTTGAATATCCTTGGATAAAAATTATTGTTATTTGTATTTTATACATTCTTAAGGCTATGCTCTATCTAAAGCCAAGATGCTATTGTACAACGTTGTCACTGTTTTCTGTTCTGTTGTGGAATTTCTTTGTTTCGTTCGTTGGATTTGGGTTTCGTATCATGCTGCTATCTCAATCGTTTTCACGTGGAGGACGCACTAAAGCATGTCGCTTGATTGCCTCCACTAGCCATTTGATTCCCTCGTCCACGCCTTCACCAGTGAGCGCAGAGACTGGTATCGTAAGACAATCGCGTCGTCCAATTAGCGCACCAGCCTGTTGGAATACTGGCTTTATTTCGCGTACACCCATTACATCAGGCAGATCCTGCTTGTTGGCCAGTATTAACAATGGCACGCCGGAGAGCAATTCGTTCTTAATCATTTTGTCTGTAAGATCAGTAATCAGGAATAATTATTGATGCTTGAGTTGAGCTGCATATTTACCAAAAACGACTTTTGACTCGTCCATACGTTCGCGATTATTGGATTCTATCACATAAATAACGCCATGCGATTCCTGATAGTATTTGTCCCACAGTGACTGCAGTTCCTGCTGGCCACCTAAATCCCAGAAATTTAGGCGAACTCCTTGCACATCGATGGTGCCAATGTTGAGGCCTACTGTGGTTGTGATTTTAGCTGGATTTAGGCCTTTATAATTCTTCGTAAATTTTGTTTTGGCCGCCTCCAAATAGGTCTGTCAACAAAAAGTTAGTTATTTACAGCTGCAGACGTGTCGGAAGTCGCATACCGTTTTTCCTGCATTGTCCAGGCCTAGAATGACGACGCAGTATTCGTCTTTCTGTGTGAGATACTTGTAAAAGCCATGCAGCAGTGTGTACATCTTCGAAATGCCTTATATTGTTCAGAAATATTAAAGTTTCATTCCAAATGGACAACAAACAACAGTTGGTAAATATAAAATAAAAACACAATCTAGGGTTGTTTCTGTCCAGAATTGTGCCAGCGTATGTATGAGATTTTCTGGATGGTTTTGGTTTATGCGACTACGTCATAAGGTAACTTTCACAAATATTATATTCGCTCTGCTTATTAATTAACTTTTTTAAACTATGTTATAATATTTTTTTAAAATAATGTAAATTGTGGTTTTATTACGATTCGATTGGCTAGCTTATCGATAGTTGAGTTTACTATGGTGGTAGGCAAACAGCTGTTAGGGGCAGCTCCATTGCTTTGTTTACATTTTTACTACACACTCTGGCAACGCTGTGCAGTATTGTTAGCACTCCATTCCTTAACAGCCAAGTGTAGTGTTGTAAAACAAGGCACGCCAGTCAACGGTTTTTTAAGCTCATAACGCATGATAGAATAATTTGAAAGCCCTTCCTTGATTATTATAAAATCATATTATAAGAAAATGTAACAAACTAAAAGCAAGACACAACATCCTTTATTGGATATCAAATGATTACTGGTGATATTAAATTGGGTTCTAAATTTCTCTATTTCTCTAGTAATGGCAAAGTGCAAACTGGTTCTGTTCTACTTGGGTTATCCGAAAACAGTGAAAGTGTTCTGGCATTTAAATCGAAAAGAGCAACACATATTGTTTTAAAAATATCATTACATTTATCCATAAATATGCAATAGGTGTCACCAGAGACGTCTCCAAGCATGTTGCATACGTCTGTTGCGCTTACCGGCGGTTTGTATGATTTCATAGCTTCTCTTCGCGCCTGACTTGACTGAAGCAACTTATCATTGGCCTCATCCAATGCTAAGCCCTCAAATCTGTTAAAAATTAGTTAAGCTATGGCTTGTCAAATGTATGCTCAAATGATATACTTATTAAAGTGATAATTAAAGGTTCCAATGGGAATCTCTTTTACGCATACTTTTGACTTGCTCTTTCCTTGCGGGCATGGAGCTAATTCCATGTTATAGCACATTTTATGCGGATCACTGGAAGTGCGACTAATAAAATTCTGATCTCTTTGAAGTGCCGGCAACTTACTTAAGAAATGTTATATTGATAGAACATGCGTCGGCAATGCCCACACCATCATCTATTGCCACTCTGAGGACATCGTCCATATTGCAGGAGGCCAGTAGAGCTCGGGCTAGAAATGTGCGAGCTGCTAGCACGAGTCTGCCTAATGTGATCTGTTTAAATAATGAGATAAGTATTCAACTTACGTGTCCTGCCGCTGCGTAGATTTTTTGCAGCGATTGTATTCATGGTAAAAATAAGACCATGATGATTTTCGCTAAACGTATAGCCAGGCAGTTGGCCAGCAAAGCAGAGTGACATGAAATGCTCCTCCTTCACTTTATACTTGCCCAAAGGCTGCTCATTAATGATGTGTGCTACTACAAAATAACAATGATTCATCATTTCTATTGCAGCATCCTCTGTATGGCCTATTACGCGCTGAGCAATATAGAGTCCCAGTCTGAGTCTGAGTCTGATCACGTTGCTATTCAACTAACTATATCACTTACACAATGCTTCTGGTTCAATACAATTGACGAGCATCCGCAGCTACTGCTGTGCTTCGGTGCCGGACACATATTTTGTGGTAAAATCTCGTCCATTTGCATTAAAAATAACTGTAAAAGATGAAATACGTGTCATTCATGTTGTTATCGATAACATTGGGCGCGCACTGCGTTGTCATTGAAATTGGCAATCACATCAAAGAACGCGAGCTTGTCATTCCCTTGGCTTGCTTCTAAATGGCATCAGCTGATAAGCTGACACCAGCAGGCGGCCAAGGTTAGTGCAAATTTGCGTGCATTTAATTGGTCAACACATTATCGGCAGCTGCGCAACAGCTTACGACTTATAGCAGCGTCAGCTTGCCACCCAGTCAAATCATCAAAAACCAAAAAAAGAGTATATAAATTGCATTTGAATGACAGCATTCACAACGAAGGCGATGCCATAGCAGACCCTTGCACCTGAACTAGCTCTGGACTTGACACACTCCAGTTATTGTGTAATGTGTAGAGAATACGCACACACACATGTATTTATTGTGGCATATTGGCCAAATACGAATTCGCTTACAAAATAAACAAACAACAGTGTCAAGAAAACGGAACTAGTTCAATGACTGTTTGCTGCACGGCCAATGGGTTTTTCTCTATTATATGTATTACAGTTGTAATTGCCAAAGGCAGCTAGTTAAGGCTTAAGTGAGTTTTGTTTAAAATAGATTTTCGGCCAATTGCCAGAACTGCAAATCGTGGAGCGTGATCGACTCCAAAATGCTCGTTCGCAACTTAACTTTTTAGGACTTGCCACGAACAAGCATTATGAAAACTGCGATAATGTTAATTGTTAATTGTTAATTGCGTTATTAGCGAGTGACTGCTGTTGGTACTGCTACACTTGCAGAAATGCACAATTATGTGTGAATATAGTTACTTGAATTGTATTTGGTGTTTGTCATTGAACATTGACAACTTGCAACGAGTGCGCGCCATAGAAAAAGAATCTAACAAATGCGACACGCAACAACCTCATCGTTAGAGTGGCTCAAGTTTGAAGTGTGCTGCCATAGCCCCACAAGCTCAATCATATTTCAATTTTTTTTCTGCTCGTATACTGATAACTATTAACAATTTGCTGTCGATCGATGCCAAGCGAATAAGTTGATTTACTAATTGGCTTGTTTCTACATATACGTATATATGTATATAAATATACAGATTTGACTCACATGTACGAAGTCCACTTCGGCGCCATCGGCCACGCCCTCCAATTCTCTTACGTACTGGGGAAAACTTGCTTTTACTGATGCTAGAGTTTCTTCATAGATTTGTTCTGTTTAGATTCCATTAGAGCAATAAGTAGGGATGCAAAGTCTTACACACTCTTAAGTACTCACTGCCCTTGGGGGTGTTATAGAGCGGCAAAAAGGTTTCGTTCAAAACATAACATTGTGTCCGAAAGTTTCTGATCATTGAGCCAAATGTACGACCCTATACAGCAAATAAGTAATAGTCCTTGCGGCGATGTGATTCTACTTACCATATCAAAACCGACCTCGTAGTGGGAGCCCCGGGTGTAGAGTATGGGTATCGCTTGACGGCGAGTGTTTTTGCTGTTTGGGCACGCCCTGTGTTTCTTAGACGAACCGTCTATCATTTTTATGAGGATTCTTTATAAATACTACAATTTGGAACAATACTAAAGAAAGAAAAAAGGACAGTCATTTAGACCAAACAAAAATCTAACTTAACTTCCAATTTGAAAAATCAAACGCAGCTCATATATAACATTGATGTATACCAAAATGGCTACTGAGCTAATGATAGAGATTATTAAACACAGTAATAAGTGGTAAATTGTCTTTGTTGACATGTTTCAAGTATTGTTAAGCTCATATTAATTGAAATTTAAGTTAACGGCTAAAGACTTATCGATAGATTTGCAAGGCTCTCCCACCACCGACAATCGTTCTGAGTCAAGTTGACAGCATGGCAGCCTTGTCCAGTGATGTCAGAAAAAACGAAAATTTAAAAACACATTTGAATTGAATTTCAAGATTTTACTTTAGGTTTTTATTATATTAATATAATTGTTAAGTATTTACTGATTCCACAATGCTTACATTTTACTTGTGCTACATTTTATGAATTATTTATATTATTTACTATTTGTAAAGCAAATGCAACGTGCAAATCAACACGGCAGCTTAAACCGTCCGAAAAGCAATCAAATCGAAGAGATCATAGTTATCATAAGCAACGGCCAGAATATTACGGGCATCCTGGCCGGTGGTTCATTGGTGTCGTCCTAAAATAGGCGTTCGCATAGTAGCAGCAGTCAGAGCATTTCCCTGTGGCCCAGTTGACGCTGTGTAGAATAAGTAGTTCGAGGAAACGCTAGAAACATTTATATATTCTATACACTATACTTTCGCAATCAATTAATTGAGGAGCAGCCATTGGGTAGACTTTTGCTGCGTGGCTGAATCTTAATGGATCGCGTTAATAGCTTGTCCAGATGTAAAAAGAATAACTGCAAAATAGAATCGTTGAGAGTGGCCCATGGCCGTTATTAATATCGATATAGTTATATTCAGTATAATTGCGATAGTTAACTCAATTGCTTTGTATCAATTAATCAAAAGGATGCGTCTGACAATTATTTCAAATGTCATTTCGAGTGCTTTGAACGCTGACAAAATGATTCATTTATTGTTCGGTAATGATTAATTGCCATAATCATTGCTCGCTGTTGTTTTCTCGATAAGCTGGCGTTCGAAGACGAATAATGCAGCTTAAAATTTGGAAAAAAAATGATTAATGGTAATTTCCGCTGTTCTTTTTTTTTGTCAACGCCCAAAAAAAGGTTTCAAATATGAAATATGATAAATGATCAATTTTTTTGAGTCACATGTTCAGCTCAGGATCTTTTTATAGAATTCATAAATAAACTACAGATAACTTGCATTCAAGTTATTCTCGTATAGTATATATAGAAAAGTTAGTTGTTGCTGTTCTGTGAGAAATCAATTAGAAAATAAATTTATGATTATGAGCTCACATTTGCTAATATGATAACTGCTGAAAGAGCTAACCAAGGCTATTAATTTAGCCAATTACTTAAGTGCAAAATGTATAACAAGTTATTGGCAGCTGCCAATGCTTTAAGTCACATCAAACGCTTACATTGATTATCTTCTAATTAAAGATGCAAATAAGCAGACAAGTCAAAGCGAGCTATTCCACCTAGACTAATTCCCTATCTGCATTAGATAATTTGCATTTTTAAGGCTTCTTTCTTTCCGCTTTGACAGTTTATTCAAGTGCAAATCGAGAAACCAGAGCCGCAACAATGTCAAGAAAAATGGAACTAGTTCAATGACTAGTTCACCGTACGGCGAGTGCGTTATGATTTTTTTGCTTAACTTGAATTAGTATTTGAATTACCCAACTATCTAGAAAATATGTAACGAAATAATTAAAAAATGACGACTTTTAATTGCATTTAAATGTATTTTAATTAAGTTTTCAGTAGCTATTAAATGCTTTGCGTTCAGACGGGCAGGCGGACAGCAGATCGAATATGCAGAAAGCCGATGAACGAGCAAAATAAAAGCTGCGATAATGTTAATTGTTAATTATAATAGCGTTACTAACGAGTGATTGCTGTTGGTATTGATACACTTGCAGAAATGCACAATTATGTGTGAATATAGTTACTTGAATTGTATTTGGTGTTTGTCATTGAACATTGACAACTTGCATCGAGTGCGTGTCATACAACAATAATCTAACAAATGCGACACGCAACGACCTGATCGTTAGAGTGGCTCAATTTTAAAGCTCAAGCAAATCATATTTATATTTTTTTCTGTTTATATAATGATAACTATAAATTTGCTGTCGATCGATGCCAAGCGAAAATGTTGATATACTAATTGGCTTGTCTCTAAGCTTAACATACAATTTCTAGTTTATATATCATAAATACACATAATAGTTATAGGTCGGCAATAAGGTTTTGGATAGAGTTTCTGATCGAATGTATCGATACCTTTGCCAGGCTCTGCCATCACTGGTTCTGGCAGCTTTTAAAGTTGAGTTGAGTGTGGCAGCGCTGTACAAATCGCTTTCAAATTAAAAAACACATTTGATGTCAACGTCAAGTTAAAACTTTATTTATGCATATCTAAACTATTGCTTGGAGCAGCCAATGTATGTATATATCATGTTATTATTAATAATTGTTAAGTATTTGCTGATTATTGCTTATGTTTCAAAAAAAATATAAAAATTCCTTTTTAGCTATATTTCATGATGAGTTCAAGTACTGAATTATTTGTGTTATTTACTACTTGTAAAGTAAAGGCAACGTGCAATGGGGCTCGGTAAGGCTCGGATTGTCCGAGTAGAGTGATAAAGTCTTGGCATTCAGATCGAATAGGCCCACTGCTATAGTCTTGACCTCCTCATCGATGCTGCCGTTATCGCGCCATACGCAAAAGCAACCGCCATTTGTATCGCCCAGCATATTGCGGACATCCTGCTCGCTGGCCGGCGGCTTGTAGTTACTAAAGACGCTCATGCGCGAGATGCTTGACTGCACCATCGGCTCATTGGCCTGATCCAAGATGATGCGTTCGAATCTGTTTAATGAAACAGGAAATAGTTTCATGTGCTTCTAGATTTGAGAAACATTTTGCTTACTGGTTGGTGTGATAATTATGCCCGCCCTGCGGTATCTCCTTGATGCTCAAGTGGGATTCATTCTTCTTGTCCGGATTCGGTGCCATTTCTATGTTGTAGAACATTTGACGTGGATCGCTGAAAGCCAAACGTAAGGAATAAATTGATAGATTTGCTACGGCCTATAGCCCACTTACGCCAAAAACGATAAGTTGATGGAGCAAGCATCGGCGGCGCCAACGCCGGCATCCGTTAGCACTCTGAAGGCATCGTCCACGTTGCTTGTGGCGAGCAGAGCTCGGGTCAAAAAATGACGAGCTGTAAGTAGGCCGTAAGTAGGCAACATATAATTAAGCTTGTCTCTGCTCTTACGTGTCTTGCCACTGCGCAGCAGCTCGGCGCTAATTGTGTTGATGCTAAAGATAAGTCCATGATGATTGTGGCTCATGGTATAGCCAGGCAGGTGGCCGGCATAGCAAAGCGACATAAAGTGCTCTTCCTTTACATTATATTTGCCCTGCGGCTTGTCGCTAATGATGTGGGCGACCACAAAGTAATAATGATTCAGCGTCTCAGTGAGAGCATCCTCCGTGTGGCCCAGCAGGCGCTGGCAATATTAAGCAGATCGAGGCAGTCTGAGCAAACATTTATATCGTTTAAAATCTACTTACGCAATGCGGCTGATTAACAATTATCGAGGAGCAGCCAGTGGGTTGATTTTTGCTGCGTGGCTGGTGCTTTATGGACTGTGGCAATATTTCATCTAGATGCAACAAGAATAACTGTAAAATTAAGAGTTGCCCATAGCCGTTAAAAATTCGTATAATAGCATCGATAAGCGTGTGTGCTATTCAATATAAGTAAGAAGGAACAATATCGATTGCATTGTACCTTATCAATGCCACACCATCTCTGACTTCGTATCGATTAATCGAAAGGATGCGACTGTCAGTTATTTAAAATGTCATTTGAGTGCTTTGAACGTTGACAAAATGATTCATTTATTGTTCGATAATGATTAATTGTTATACCATTTCTTCGTTCTTTTTTCGGTAAGCTACAATAATGTAGTTTAAAATTGGGCAAAATATGATTAATGCCAATTTCCATTGTTATTTCAAATATGATAAATAATAAATAAATTAACAATTGTTATGAGTCGCACGTACACCTGTAGCTTGCATTCAAAATATCAATTTGTAGACTAATTTATGTATATGTAAGCCTCGACATGTATTGTAAATGGCCAAAAGGAGGAAAGTCACATTATAAATGTGAATGAAATTAATTATGACGACATCAGCTAACGAACTAGCTGTGGACAGAGCTAACCAAGGCTATTAATTTGGCCAATTAGTTAAGTGCAAAAAGTATAACAAGTTATTGGCAGCTGGCAATGCTTTAAGCCACACCATACGCTTGCATCGATTCTCTAATTAAAGATGCAAATGAGCAGATAAGCCAAAGCTAACTATTGCACGTGGACTAATTCCCTGCCTGCATTACATAACTTGCATTTTTAAGGCTTCTTTCTTTCCGCTTTGACAATTTGTTCAAGTGCAAATCGAGTAAGCCGGAACCGCAACAATGTCAAGAAAAACGGAACTGCATTTGCCAATGCATTATGTTTTTCTGAATAACCTTTACCTAGGAAACTGTTATCAAGAATTTTTGTTAAGTTTGAATTGAGTTCATCATCCATTAGCTTCTAGAGTTGAATGTTTTTTATGAGGTGAGAAGAGTCTATTCGTTTCGTCCGTCTGTGGAAACTTGACTCTTTTTGATTCGTGTACGGGTATTATGCCGTCGCCAACACCTGAGCGTTGTTAATTTGTTTTTCGGTTCGCTAATATGTGTGAGAAATACTTATAATAAGCTCAAATATTTGCTTTTAATTAATATGCAACTTAAAACAATTGCATTATTGCAAGGCATTATCGGAGCTCATTGATAATTATGTTTGTAGTCAGTCGTCCGTTATAGTTGAGTGCGAACTGTAATGATTATTAAATAAATATTATAGACAATTATGTGTGAATATTTAGTTGACTGATTGTCATTGAACATTGACAACTTGCAGCGCATGCAACGTGCCACACGCAACAGCGTGCAACGACTTTGGCATTAACTGCACCGTTAGAATGGCTCAAGTTGAAGTGCGCTGTCCAAACGGCAATAGCTATTAGTTGTATTTTGTTGTACGTCTTAAGTCTACCGAAACGTGGCTTTGCCAGACCGAATGTAACAGTCTAACGGATGAGTGGACGATCTTTTATAGAATATATAATCTTGAGCAGGACAATGAGTTGAGTTGCGATCTGCTTCTGACTGTCTTATGTCGTATGAGCTAGAGACTGGCGGACGTAGTTGGTTGAGTAATCATCGATAACATTTTTCATCGATTAAAGCTAATTCCGCTCATCTTGAACTAAAAAGGCGAAATTGAATTGCCAAATCCATTTGTGACCACAATCGTTGTGTTTTGGGTCAGCGTATCTTTTGGTCAGTCACACCCGACTATAGCTTTTCGACGATTTGCACAGTCGTTTATTCGTGTTTATAGCCATTTAATATTTATCGATTGTCAAAGTGCTAATTATTACACTTAACAAGCGAGCATTAAAATTGTGAGATGGCATCTGAATCGGGATTTGGGTTTGAGTTGGGGTTTTGGGGTTCGGCTTCGGGTTCGGGTTTGGTTATTAATATTTATTGATTAATGGCATACCTTGTGAAACTCCACCTCGGCTCCATCGGCAACGCCCTCCAATTCGCGGACATATTGCGGAAAGCTGCACTTAACCGATTCGAGAGTCTCGTTATAAATTTGACCTGGGACAAAAGAAGATCGAAAGAAACGAAAGGAAAGAAAGAAAGATAAATAAATATATATATATATATATATATATATATATATATATATATATATATATATATATATATATATATATATATATATAATCAGCAAACATGAAGATCTTTTGATGGAGTACTACTCACGGCCTTTTACGGTGCTGTACAGGGGCAAGTAGGTCTCGTTCAGTGACTTCGATAAGATCAAAAAGTTCTTAATCATCGAGCCAAAAGTGCGACCCTGTGAAGCAATCATCATTATTATTATTATTATTATTATTATTATTATTATTATTATTATTATTATGAATATGGAATGGAAGCTTTCTAAATACTTCACTTTTTGTATGCTAATGGACACTCTAGTTTAAAATTAAAAAAAATGTTTTTATAATAAATTGAAAATAAAAAAAAAACCATAATCGATCACGACTGATCAACAACAACAGTTTGAATAAATAGTTATTGTTAGTCGCTATTGTTGCCATGTTGTAAGTTATTGGCGGCACTTGGCGTTTTGGTCCATACACTCGCTGCTCTCACCCCTCGCCCATTTGACAACGACTCCCAAGCGAAGCGTCTGGCAGTGAATTCCGGGCCTGCATGCTAATTGCTGCTCGCCCTTGATATTGGCCATTTGTGTGCAGTTTTTTTTCCTATCAATTCCGGTTCAAAGCCAATGAGCCAGTGAGTGTGTTTCAGAGTTTAGTGAAGGCTAAACAGGAACTGGGTCACGAATTGGCACAGTCAACGCCTACACAAAAAGCTCTTACAGCTGAAGCCAGCCAGCAGGCTAAGTCGGCTTGGCTGCGACTACTGTTCAAGTATCTCATGGGCATCAACCTATATACATATTTGTCAGTTTGATACCCCGTGAAAAGCGCTTCATAGCTACGTACATGAGACTAGTCAACAACCGATTGAGGCACTGCTTATCAGAATCAGCGATTTATCTTTATATGTCATATATGTATTTAGAGTACATGTATATAAAAATATATATATATTTATATATATGTATGTAGCTGCAATTGTGCGAGCCGATAAGCGAGAAAAGGCAGAAAGAGTCGCTGAGTATAGCTAGACAGGAATTTAACGCTTTGCTAATTAAAGCAAATGTTCAACAAAAAAAAGTATTAAAAAGAAATTAAAGTCAAGTGAAAATTTCTTATAGTATCTATATAGATATAGATATAGTGAAGAGTAGATTACTAGATATGATATAATAAAGTTGTTAAGGTCATATTTGCGATCAAATCTTATAGCAGAGCTCATGCGAGATCCGTTCAGAAAGTAATGCAAATTTGAACTTTTGATATTCGTAAACTTGATGTGTTGGTACCCAAGACCATGGCTTAGACTCATCTTTGTTCATTCCAAAAAAGAGTCACAGAATCTTTATATATATTTATAGATAATTTAGGAAAAAGTACAAAAACTGTCAATACTTTTGGAACACACCTCGCATGTGTATTCGCATTTTCTGTTGTTCATTTCAATTTGGTCTTTAATATACAAATTGTCTCTATTCTGTCTATAGATCTACAGATAATGTGCGCAATTATGAGCGATATTATTCTAATTTTGATTACTATATTATATAAGAACTTTACAGCCCTAACGAAGATAGATCATTAGTCGAATATATATATATAAATATATATATATATATATGTATGAAATTTCTGCTTGAATGACAATTTTGAATATTTCTCTCGCTTTTTCTATGCATTTTTGTTCTTTTCATTTTCATTTTCAATTCTCAGTTTTTTTTTGCGCTTTCTAATTGAGTAGTGAATCAGATACACTAATAATTCAGTTGATTATCGCTATAGCCGAGCAAAAGCAATCACAGCGGAGGTAATGACAGGTAGAATTTCCACCCAGCTTACTTGCTATGCGGTGTCGTCGCTGTCAGTCAAAAGCAATCAAAAAATTGTACTGTTTGGACCAGTTGAGAGTTAAACTTAAAAATTCAGCTAACTAGCTCAAGTGTGTGAGGGATCCTCCCCTCTGAGTTCCCCCATTCCAGTTTAATTTGGCTTCGCGTGACTCTGCGACTCCGAGGCGGTCTGTCCGTGCGTGTTTGTTTTAAGGTGAAGGTGCAACGGTGCAGAGGTGCAGAGGTGCAGAGGTGCAGAGGTGCAGAGTGGGAGTGGGAAAGTGCCGTTAGCTTTGCTTACCATATCGAAGCCAACCTCGTAGTGTGTGCCACGCGTATAGAGGACGGGTATCGCCTGGCGACGAGGCAATATCCTGCCGGACGACATGCTCGATGACATCTGGTGGGCTACAGGCGAGGTGCACATGGCTTCCTGGGCTTTCGTACTCGTGTATGTGCTATGGACCGTTTATCGCTCTTCGCGCTATTTGGCTCTGAAATTTGAGCAAGACGATCAATGAGACGGGCATATTGCTGTGTGCGTGGGTGTGTGTGTGTGTGTGGGTGGGTGTGTGTGTGTGGGGGTGTGTGCCGTTCGATGTGTAGTGTCTGGGTTTGATTCTTCTTCACTTTGATTTTCCCATTTCGTTTGTGTGTGTTTCCATCGCAAGCCCACGACGAGCCACGAAACGTGAATGAAATGACAGAAATCGCAACACACACAGAAACATCTATTAATAATATTAAACAATACTCAGTGGGAAATTAGCGATGCGCCAAATTAAAATTGCAAATGCAATTCTCGAAATACAACAAACCGATGAAGGAGAAGAGCGAGAAACACATGAAACGAAATTACGCGAAATTAAATAAAAATATATATAACAAAAAAAAAAACAAATACAATGAACGTTAATTTCTTTAAGCACACACACACACGCAAACTCACGCTCTCAGTGTAAACAAATAGTACGAGAACAAAAAAAAAACACCAAAAACCAAGTTAAGCACTAAATTCAAGCCAAGCTTTCAAAAATAATGTTCTAAAGCGCTTGAACGCAGAATTCAAACTGAATTGGCCATGTTTTGGCGGCGGCAATTTGAAGTGCCGAACAACCACCCAGCAGCAGCAACGGCAACAACAACAACAGAAGCAGCAACAGCAGACGTTCAGTGCAGGCGATACGAAGACAGCGGACGACGTTGCGTCGCGTAGACGACCGGCAATCGCTGCGATAACGGAGCAGCGAGCAGCAGAGACATATAGAAATGGCAACAATAAAAACAACAACAATAACAGTAAGAGCAGCCCCAATAGCGCTGCGACGCCAGCTGCGCTGCCGACGCTTATCCAGAGATGGAAACCAAACAAATTCGCTTCGATTGAATATCGTATGGGAATTCGAAGTCAAATCGGAATTCAAATTCCAATTCCAATTCCAAATCCAATTCGGATTCCAATTCGAATTCAATAACAGTTGCGGTTCGATACACATTAGCCGGGATCGTAGCGATCTTATTTATTTAATATATGGTAATAATATTTCGATATCAACAAATTTATGGCAAACTTGTTGAATATGCATGATATATGAAGCTTAATTGTTTCAGCTTTAATTAGTGTTATACTGAGAAAATTGACCCACTCCATAGACAATTTTTTATTGCCATCGATCATTATAATTTTTATTTTAATATTGTGCGTCCCTGCGGTTGTATTCCGACATTGTTTTTTGTCTCCCTAAGTCGATTACGGCTAATAGGCTTTCCCTTGAACAAAAGGTGTTCGGCACTATTTATAGATATTGACGTTTGCTTCCATTCTTTTTCGACCCTCTAAACTTTTAAGCCCAACCCCAGTGCCTGCCACATTTGTTGTTGTTACACTATTTGTGTATCATAGCCGAAATGTGCCGCTTAAGTTGCTTGAGTTACTAATTGATACAAAGATTCCAGTTTCTGTTTCATTGTTTTTTTTTTTTTTTAGAAACAAACCTAAGAAGCATTTGAATAACCTGTATGAATGGGGAAGCCCTAAAACCGTTGATAGCTTGAGCTAGGTAAGTAACACACACAAAACAGTTAAGCTAGACCAAAAACAAAGCGAACAATAATAAAAATCGTCCAACACTTGAAAACTAAGCATATGTTTCAAGCTAAGATTTTGAAGATTCAGGTTTTTTTATATACTTAAATTTGTTTTCTTTCCGTTAGTTTCTGTGAGGGTGCTAAGACCTCCCATCACCCTTGTTTGTTGAGCGATGTTCTTATGTTGCTTTTCGGTTACGTATACGTAATTTGAATGCTTGCCAAGCCGTTTTACACACTGATACACACACGTCCATAGATAGTTGTTTCTTTCTTAACAACTAACCTTGAAAAACTATTATTGTTTTGTGTTGGTGCTTTCCATGGCAACACGTTTCTTGCTGCCGCACGCCGTGGCTGCCACACATTTCGCTTTGTTTTAATTTTTTTAATTTTTCCCTTTAATACATTTTACATATACACATAAATATTTACGCTTATGTATGCACATATATTGTATAACATTATTAAAATGGGTTTGGTTTGCATACACAAATCGAGCAGGTGGGCCACACTGTGAACGATCGCAGTCAGTGTCAAGGATAGCCGCTTAATACATATCTAAGTCGAAACTTACCAAATGATTAATTTCTAAAAATTGGCTCATCTCGTGCATTGAAGCTCTGTCAATTGGTTCTAGCATAAAGTCGGTGATTTTATGTTGATAATCCGGTTATAATTAAGGTTTCTAGTATCCAAAGTCCGTCCGTCGTATATTGTTGTTCACGAAACTGTATTATGTTGCAGCATAGACGAATAATTTGAAATTATTAATATACTTCGTATAAGAATAAATTACCATAATATATCTTACTAGAATTTATGGATTTTCTAATTAAAATGGGTCTAAGAATGTTGTAAATTTTTTAAGTTCATACCTAAAGCTAAATTCCAATTGAATTTATGCAGTGCGCACAACTCACGCGCCATTGGGCATTGTTCAACACTGTTAACTGTTATCGATATTTTGATTAGCGATGACTGCGATAACTGCGATTAGTGCTGCGTAATCGCAGAACTGTTCCCTGCGCAAACAATAAAAAGGAAATAAATACAACACATGTTGACAATCAGCTTTATTTATTTGAATACTCAATAATAATGTGTTGTATAGCATTAACTCGAGCTGTCTGTAACGGGCGCCAACGCTGAGCAGTGTGATGTGCCGCTCAATTGACCAGCGGGCGGTATAAAATTTGGAATTGCGTTTTGTTTTCATTTTGATTGCTCGCAAGCGGCGTTTGAACAAGCGACGCTGTAACTCGAGCAACTGGTCAAGTTGTTTGCAAGGTGTATTTAACGTATGTAATTGCATATGCACAACGATGGAGAACCGCGCAGAATCTAAGCAAAAAGTTGCTGATGCTGAAATAGACGCGATGGAGACTTTAGGTGAGCAGCTCAGGATTACAGATGCACGATATATAAACTGTTATATTTATAGATGTGAATGAGACGAAGCCAAAGCTGGAACAAGGCGAAGAGCTCATGGACTTTGTCATAAGTCCCGTAATGCAGAGTCCGAACAGCAGCGACACCTGTATTAGCAAAACATCCGCCTACAATTTGGAAACATTTCTGGCGGAACGTCGACTTATCCGGCTAGTGAGAAAGAGATCGGCGCTCTATAACAGACATCATCGGCGGTTCAAGGATTACGTCTTCAAGGAGCAGCTGTGGCAGACCATTGCACGGAAGATGTCACTAGAGCTGAGCAAATGCATAAGTACCTGGGTGGAGCTGCGCTATAAATATCAGCGACATGTGCGCCGTCTACGCAGCTATCGCCGGAAAGTGCAGACGTGTCGCAATCAAGCGCATGCCCGCCCCATCATGCTGCACGAGGAGGAACTGTTATTTCTGTACACGCATGTGGCCCAGTTGCCGTTGCAGCCTGACCAACGCACCAATGTGCACGATTTGGAAGCGACGAGTGTCGACGACGATGTTATCATTGTAAATCATCAACCGGCCATTGTTATAGACGTAGAGGAATACTGTGATCAGCACAAAATAAGCTCAGATCAGCAGCGGCTAATTGATGCCGTTCGCGCCTATCCACAGCTCTATGATACTCAGCATCTCAACTATGCGAACTATCGTCATCGCGGTCTCATTTGGGGCGCCATCTCCAATGAGCTGCACGAGAAGGCAACCAAGCTAATGAAGATCTGGTTGCAATTAACGACGCGATACGAGTGGGAGTCTCTGCATTGCAATAGCAGCAGTAGCAGCTCTCAGCTACTGAAGCAGCTCAGCTTTCTCGATCCGCACATCCGCAACACACCTAACACCGTCTGCAAGATGTCGATGTATTTGAAGGACGCCTGGTTTGATACCATTGAGCATTTTCGCAGTGTCGTCAATCTGATTGATGTGCTAAAAACGATGCCGGAACTGGGACAAATGGTGGAAGATTCTCAAGACCAGACACAGAAGCCGACACGATATCATGAGCTTTGGTTGCGCGTCTCGGCACAAGTAAATTGCAGCAGCCAACGGTGCGAGGTCACCTGGCTGGTGCTGCGCAACTTTTACCTCGAGCTAGCCGAGATGCGCAAAATTGGATATCAGCTTCAGGACAAGTGGTTCTTTGAGAAAATCATTGGCTGCCTGTACAAGCTGCTGGCGAAAAAGCGTGCTGCCAGCAATGTTGTCAAAGTCACAACACCTCCCAAATTACGGGCACATATGACTGGCCCAGCCTCGCTAAGGGATTGGCCGAAAATGGGCTCCAGCCTGACGTGCAGTACGCCACAGCCAGTGCAACCACTGCCTCTGGCCATTGTCTACCCAGCGATCACAAGGTCACCGAACACCCCCATATCCGCTATACCCATCAACAGTAGCAGTAGCAACACTGTCACCAACTCCATCGCCGCCACCACCAACACGAATAGAAGCAGTGGTGGTGCATGCAGCACTTCCGGATTTGCCATGCCTCGCATTACGGCAGCCATTAGTGTGGTGGCTAAGCCTGCACCGACTGCTGCGCCACTGACAGTGGCGCCAGTGGCAACCATTCCTAATTCCAACTACTTAAGCAAAGGGCCCAAGCCATTGGCATTGCCCATACCGGCCACTGTGCAGCTGGCCACTGTGCCCGGTGTGCGACCGGGTCTACCGCGCACCGGTCTGCATGTAACGGTTAAACCAGGAATGCGTTTACCTCTAACGCCGCGAATGCCGCCCGTTATTGGCAGCACAAGCAACTCTGCCATCCGCAGTATCCGCGGTGCCACCATAATACGGCCTGTGGCACCTGCTCCAGCTGGCACCATCGTAACAACCACAACAACAACAACAACACAAGAGCCAAGGCCCATTTCAAAAGTGGCCAATTGGAGCAGTATTCTGGCAGCAGCAACGCCGCCGTCAACCATAAAGTTGGGGCCACCGTTGCCCAAGCTAGTGCCGCTAACCGTGTGCAAGGACACGGTGAAGTTGCCCTCGAAGAAGATTGTGCTCAAAGCGCCCTCCACAACGATGCCGATGCCAACTTTGACGCCAAGAATGCTCCTCAGAAAGCAACCAAATACAGTTTGTGGCAATCCGGCGCTGCCCATCAAAATAAGCAGCGTTTCATCCAGTATGAACTCCAAAAAGCCCAAGTTACTTCCGTCGTCGCCGCAGCCGCCACCACCGCCATCGATGGTGTCACTGCCCATCCAAAAAACCACTTGCCCACCAGATTTGTGTGTCCAAACGCCGTCGGAGTGCGACATTAAAGTTGAGTTTCGCGACTGCCCGACCATGGGACGCATTATCCATGTAGAGGGCGCAACGGTGCTGTATTCGCCAAATCTGACCATGGCACGAGTGGCAATCTTTATACGCGAGGTGATGGCCATACCGCAATTGCACATGACGGAAACCCATTCGACGGCCAGAAGTACCATCATCTGGCAGCAAATATCCAGGAAGTATCACATGCCAGGCAAGTGCTAGATATTTCAGCATAGGCATCCGCTAGTCGATCACTCTTAATGAAAGCTATTTGGTGTATCTATTGCAGAACAAGTATGTCGCGGCATCTGGCGCTTTCTGGCGGCGAACATCAGTTTGTTTCCGGAGATAGCGCCCATGGAGGAGCTAATGCGCCCCTTCAAAAGCACCTTCAAGGTGTGGGAGAAATCGCATCGATTGTTCAGTAAGTTTGATGAGATAGCACGTAAATATCAATGGATGCTGCACAAGGATAAGCTGCCTGCACTGATGCAGCTCTTCCAAAAATACGAACATCTGTACTGGGAGCTGCGACGACCACGACCAGGAGAGCTCAGTCATTCAGTGCGACCGCCGCGCCAGTATACCGACAAGGAGCGAAAGGAGGTGTGGCAATTGGCACGAGAGCGTTTTCCGCACAGTAGGTGACATAGCTGACCAGGATTAGCTCGAACTGAATTACGAATTGTTGTGCTATTGTTAAATCTTTGGCAGTGAATCATCAGGATGTTTGGTCCATGTTTAAATTTGCCTTCAAAACGTTTATGGACGACTTGGAGCGTGGCATTGAGAATCCTTGGCCGCAAAACTGGTGGCATGCATTGGAGCAGCTCAAGTTTCTTGTGAATGTGCGCTACCATCCCTTAGAGCCCTACTACTACATAGTGCACAACAAGTTCATGGAGGAGGTGAAGCGTTGCAGCATGTACGAAGCTTTAATGCAACCAAATCTGACCGGCGGATTGGCTAAATCATTGGCCAACAACTCGCCCATGCCCTGGGAGACAGCCGAGGCAAAGGAACTGTTTGCTATGCAGGTAAAGCCTTTGAACGATCTAGCAAATACAGGTTCTTATAATGAAGCCTGACATCCATTACAGAAGCAGCAAATACAGCAAGCACAGGAAGAGCAGGAACAGCAGCAGCAGCAGGCGGAGCTTCTAAAGAACAAACAACTGTCAGCTGAGGCCGAGCTCCGAATGGACATACAGCCTCCAATCAAAGAATTGCGCAAGAGTCTCGCTGATGCTGATAGCCGCAAATTGCCCAGCATCGATTCGTATCAGCTGAGCCGCCTGCTGCTCTGTTATCCGCATACCTATAGCAGAGCGAGCACTATAGAGAAGCGTAGGGCTTGGCTCAAGGTTGCCAAAGAGCTGAATGCATCAGGTAAGTGAGCTACTCTGCCGCATGCCGCCAGACAGGTCTTTAAATGCATCTTCTGTTGCAGTAACCGAGTGCCGTGCGTGTCTGCAGCATGCGCTGCGTGAGATGCGCATCTTGAAGACGATCGATTTGAATAATCGTTGCTCGCTGTCGCATAAGTATTATCGTCACCTGAACGAGATTTTTACGCAGGTCAAGACTGGCGCGGCAACACCGCAAAATCTAAGCCAAATGCTAATGGAGCCCACAGAGACAATATATCCGGAGCGCTATGTGCCCGAGATCAATATGATTGTGTGCAAGCCCAGTCTGGTGGTCAAGAACTGGGCCTATGCGGCCAACAATTTGCCAAACGCCAATCGGGACAGCTTGCGTCCGCGTCTTAGGAAAATCTTTGCCAAATACGCGCACCTGGCAAACATCGAATGGCCCAATGATGGGCCAGTCAAGCGCAGCAATGGAACCCTATAGCTTCAGCTCCAGCAAAGAGCAGCAGAAGTCGGATGCCAAGCGTTTTTAGCTGCAGCCAGACACATAGTTTTTATTTGTTAATGCTAATATTATAGTGTAGAAGCCTCGACATAATGTTCAGGCTATTATTGGAATCCAATCCTCGCCCAACTCAAATATCTTTCATCACAAACGCCGCTTGCAATGCCAACGGTGGTCTCTGTTAAATATTATATTCGCGATTTATGTATAAGATATAGAATATATGCTTGACATACATGTATATATATATATATATATATATATATATATTTGTGTATATTGAAATGAAAACATTGTAAAGTTAACAATTAAAGTTAATTAACTTTTACTAACAATAAATTTATTTGCAACTAAATATTAAATAAGAAATAAAGTGAAGATTGTTTACAATGTGGCATGCGGCATGTGGCACAAGCATAGCTTGTTGATGGCCACTTTAACAGCCTCGGTGGGCGGGGCACATCAAACTAAGCCCAAACAAATTGTTGCCGCACAATTGGCCAAATAATTTGATATCGCTTGGACAGACAGGGGCGGGTTTGCCCTTACAGCGTGTGCGTGTGCGGGGGCGTGGCTGTGCGTGTGTGTCCAGCTTAAGTAAATGTGCGACATGCAATTGCAAAGCCCTCTAACAACATGTCATAACTTGAGCTTAGCAAAGGAAATCTCGTCTTGGGGCAACTGCAGCCTTGTCCTAAATGGGCACTAATCCAAGCCATCGATTTCTTAACAAATGTGTGCCAAATGGCAATGACTGCAGGCGTTCGTCATAGAGCCATAATCTTCATGTTCAAGAGCTGCTGCTGCTGCTGCTGCTTCAGTTTGTGCTCTAAGATTTCACTGCAAGTTCAGGTGCTTCAGCCAGTTCGGCTCTGTCTCGAGCTAAAGCTGATTTTAATGGGTCTAAGACTAGAGGCTTTATAAGGATATATGCCCATGTCAATGTGTTGGCCTATGTTTTCTTCAAATCATACTGAAGATGTATATTGACAGAGGGTGAACGATATGTTTGGGGTTTGGCTATAGTTGATCTTAAGTCACATCTGAAACATACAGCTCTTAAACATGGCTTTTACCTATGCAGCCTTAAACTCGACTAAAGTAATTTATGGATTTTATTATATATATAATATTCATAGTATATTAACTAACCAAACATCAGCTATAATTTAAATCTCCAATATTCATTTCTATTCATTTCCATTTTGCACAGAATTTGATGAAGTCCCCTCTATGGAATGGGACGTAATTGATCCTGCCTCAGAAGCTTCAAGTACTATATCTTTTGGCATACATATACATGATATAAGGTATCTTTATATAAATATATCAATATCAGGAAACAACTCTATTTGCACTCATCATATCTTTAGAGGGCAGGGTGTAGCCTAGTCGAGCACTCTCGACACTTCTTTACTTAAACAAGCTTTGCGTTGCCTCTGATCTCCTTATACCCATCTCTTTCTACTCTCTAGCCCAAATATAACTGTAAACAGTTGCATTTGTAAGTGAGATATTAAGCGCTTGGCTAATGACCCCAGGAGATACTTTGGCCCAGCTGCGCGTCAAGACACATCAAATTAACATTCTAATGTGCATCGCTTGAGCTAAGCGACTGGTCGAGCCAGCGCCTTCAGGTTGAGCTTTAAGGTCCCTTGCACATCATCATTCGGAGCAGCTACACAACGGCGATGGCAAATAATGTTTGCTCCCGGTGATTAACGCAATTAAACAGGTGCTCAAAATGATGTTTCCAGTGGATTAGCCAGCGACAAGGACGACTACGCGTTGAGGATATTTCACTGCTCTCGCTTGCACGCCCGCCAATAAGCGCCACATTAGCAGCATGCGCCATCTCCCCGGCCACATTCACATTCGCATCCCTAGCCACTCACATCCCCCAGCTCCAGCCTCATCCAACGCCACTTTCGCATTAATTCAATGTGGATTTTGAGCATCAGCCAGCGTCCATTACGTGGAGGGTGCCGCAGCAAAATTGGAATGGGCCTCCAGCGTGGCAGGCGGGCATGGGTGGTTGTCGGTTGTCCACGACGTCTGACGTTAAAATTCCATTAGCCAAACAATGGACTACAGCTACAAGGATGCCGCTGCTCAAAAGTTCGGGCCCAATAGCTCTGCCCTTTTATGAATTGGCGATGTTGTTGCCGTCTGATAATACCTGTAATTATGCCGCTCTTTGAGTGCTGCTGCGACTCAGCTGTGCCAAAGATGCTCGACTTCCCAGCGCCGTCAACTGCTTTCCTAACTAATTCGAAATGTAAACTGGACTTTTACACTTTGGACCATTAAGTAACACGAGCTACAGCAGGGCAGCAAAGGAGAAGGAGCAGCAGAACAAGGATTGTTTTCCAGATAACTTTTGGCTAGCACTGAAGTAGGCTCAGATGTCAGCTGCTTAAATATACATGCTCATATATATATATATATGTATGCTTGAGTACTTCAACTAAGATGAATCTAGCTATGATCAGCTATTTGAATGATAATCTAAGTATCCCACTTCGAACTGACAAATGCAGCCTTTATTTTACGAGGTCTGCTTAAAAAGTATTGCAAATTTGCATTACGTATACTCAATTTACAATACCGTTATGTGGATATTCATATCCCTCACTTATTTGAATTACGTATACTCAATTTACCATACATTTTGTACCGTTATCTCGGCACTCATATCCCTCACCCAGCGTTGAGCCATTTCGAAGCGGCTTTCGTTTTTTGCCCTTTCCACTAAATTTAGATGTACATATTTTTATTTATTTATATTTATTTCCAAATTCAAGAAAAGCAAAATTTCATTTGATATTAATTTTGAAAAGGATTTGAGCTCATTTGTTTGGAAAGCTTTTTCTTTCTAGAGAGTTGGGAATCTTGTATGCCCAATCAAATATATTGTTATATAAACTTATGTATTATTACAGTTGACGCTGACTAGTTCCGCAGCTTTGTCTCTTCTGTGGACGCAGCATCCAATTGCTGGTAGCTGTGACAGTTCCGTGTCCGAGGTGCTAGGCACAGACCTCAAGACAATTGTGTTTTTGTCCAACTGGTTCACATGACCTTCGTGGCTGCGGGCATAATGAGCCGCAGGTTTTTCATGATTGGGCGGCGTCTGTTTCACATGGCATTTGAGCTGCCAGAGACGACCGGCTAGCTAGCTGGGTCAGTGGCTACTGTAAGATGATTTTTGTTTTTACATTTCAAAACAAAAAATAAACAGAAAAAAGCTAAAACTTTTTATTGTCTCTTTTTCTTTTTTTTTTTTTGCTTTGCTGCTAATTGAACAGTTTCTGTTTTTGTTTTTGTTATTTAGCCCTGTTTTATTGTTAAAATAATAAAAAAAAAAACAGAAAACAAGGGAGAAAGAGAAATGAGCCAAACGAACTATTTAATGACAGTCACAGCTGTTAGGTGGAGGAGGGGGGAAGTGTGGGGGCGCTACGGAGGGGCAACTGGATTCCAGACTCAGCGTGCTTCAATGTTTTGCTTCTGGTAGCAAAACAAAGAACACGCCCCACGCAACGCTACAAAACAAAAAGTAAACAGAAAAATCATTAAAGCTTGTTATTGTTGTTGTTGTTGTTGTTGGTGTTGAATTGTGCATGAAAAACAATTAGAATTTGGCAAACAAAGATAATTTGCGCATGAGATCGACGGCACGATAGAATGACGACGACTGCAGCCACAATGACGCCGACAACAGACTCCCGACGAGAGGCACATCAAGATCAACAAGGAATTTCGCTGAAATTATTTACCTCTGAGCAGGTATGGCTCGACGAGCCCAGCCGAACGAACTCAATTAGTTATTAGCCTAATAAAAGCTGGGCAAAAGGTTAGTCTCTGCTTAAGCAAGGGAAGCGCTAGTTATAATTGAGTCAAGTGCTGCTGAGCGTTACACGAAACATAGAACAGAGAAAGAGTAAAAAAACATTGTAGACAGTTCTGAGAGCGGAAACGGTTAGTAAAGCATATTGGATAGACTAGAGCAATTCCAAAAAGAGAAAGAAATCAATTTAATATTATTAATATTTAATTTAATATTTTAAAATAATATCTTATGTTCTTAATCCTAATTTACCTGTGCAAAAAGTGAAAATGTGGTTAATGTTATTTTATGATGATCCAAAGCATGCAGCCTCCCCGCAGGCCAACATAATGTAGTCGTGCGTAATCCACGCAGCAGCAAAGCGAACACAAAAATCTGGTTTACGACGTGAACTGTTTATTACGCCTAACGAACTTTCTATGCTGGGGCACTTGGCACTTGCATAATCGAGCCCCCAATCCCTGCTATGTTCGATGACGCTGCATTTAGCGGGCCGCGAGGTAATCAATGTGGAATCTGCTCTGATTGCATCGGGGAAAGCACGACAACAACAACGACAAACTTTTTGCTGTTGATTGTCACTGGCAAGTTGTCCTCATCTTGACATTCAAAAAGAAAGTGTTCCATTAAATTTATTTGCTTAACTTTATTTTTACTTAAGTTTATTAACCATTAAATTTTTGGGGGCTTATTTGAAAATATATGCAAAATTTAATGCGAACTCGAATACAAATTCCATATATTTAACTTCTTGGTAGTTTCAAGCTTGGCGCCACACATAACTGTGGGATTGGCAAACAACTATCGATAAGCTATGATCGTTGTTCGTCTACGCTGTTCTCACTGAATAAATTGAAAGCACTTTTTGTTGTGAAAGAGAAAAGCCATAGATCGAGAACCCACAACAATTTTAATATATCTTTAATATTTAAACTTATTAACATTTTAAAAATACAAAGTTAAACATGTATTTATTTCGTTCCGCATATATCTCACATATTAATATATTCATGCTTATTATATGAGCTGTCTGGTGGAAACGTTATTTATCGCATCTCGTGGCGAATGGCAAGGCAAGATGTTTTAGTATCGATAACGGCTAGCACGACGTGATGATATCGATAATGGCATCGATTGCTGTCACAAGATTAGTCTGTTTGGCGCAATTGTAACGCGAAGATCGTGTGTCTCTCTTTCAGTGTGGCAGAGAAACGGTCGCGAGTTCAAGTTCTCCGGCTAAAAGACAGCTTAACACATTTGATTGCGATTGTTAATCACGCTTATACGATTAAGTACGAAATTATTTTGGCTAATCTAGTACTACACAAGTAATTGCTGGCATTGTTATTGTTTTGACCGGTGCCGGGGCAACAGAATCGTTACAGCGCGGCTGTGCGTTTTTTGTTTTTGTTTTATTTTTTGTTTTGTTTGAGATGTGTCGCAATTAAATAATCTACATACAAACATAATTATTATTTAATTGTAGAAAAAAAATTAAAAATAAACATCAACAGCAACAGCGGCAGCGGCAGCTGCCAAGTATAGTGAAGTGCGCGAAGTAAAGTAAAGCGCGATACGCGAATTAATGTAAAGTGTGTGTGGAGTGTGTGCGTGCAATTCAAAATTGGAGCAATAGCCGCCACGGCAACGGCAGCGGCAACGTCAACGCCACCAATTTTCCAGCTTTTTGCAATATTTCCGCTGTAAGTGTTCCTATTGTTGTTGCTCTTATTGTCCCTATTACTGTTCTTTTTGCAGTCCTTGCTCCGGTTCCTTTTTTGCTTTAACTGTTCCTTTTTTTTGTTGGCTGTCCTTTGTGCGTGTTTTGTCCACGTTGCGTACAAGTTCAAGTTCAGCTGTTGCTTGCGGCTGGCTACTTAACCGGCGAAAATTAGCAACGTCGTCGACGCCTGCATTCGGTGCTGGCTTTGCGCCCACCACTTGAACTTACAAGCAGCAGGCGCGCTCTCACTCTTTTTTTTTTTACAGACACACGCACTCTTTCTCTTCGCCGGACGGCGCTCTCTTTGGCAGATCGGCTCTCCTGCATTTCGTTGCGTGCATTGCACCTTTGCTGTTGTGTGCCTGTGGCTTCCTTGGGCCTTGTCTTCTTGCCTTGCTTTTTCGCTTTCGATGCGTTTTGACAGCGAATTGCTAATCGCCGCGGTATTTCGCACTCACACACACACACACACACAAGTTCAAACACATACCCCTGCGCCACCCACTCACACTTGCGCTCACTAAACTAATACACAGAAAGATCTCGTCATCGTTCTTTTACCTCTCGCCGCCTGTGAGAGCTCTGCTCATCACCGCGCTCGCCCTGGCGCTCGCATTCTTTGCGTTTTTGTCATTTGCTTCGCCGCCGCAGCAGCAGCAGCAGCAGCAACAAATTTCTTAGATAAATAACATTTGATAAGTAATTCGTGTATGTTCATTTATGTTCTTTCTTTTATTTTGTTGTTGTTTCCAAATCAGCTATCGTTTGATTTTGGCTTGTCGCCCGCGTGTCTTGCTTTTACCTTTTACCTTTTTTATTTTTTGCATTATTCACTGTGCGTTAGATAAGCTCTGCGAGCTAAGTCAACGATTTTTGCTTATCGCTCTTCCTTTCGCCATGACAAAAAGGTAACCAAATGTGGCTCTTGTTGTTTTTGCATTACCTCATAGTTCCAGATAGATTCCAAATCGCTTACCTACATGAGGTATCTGCTGGATGTAGACATACATATATGTATATATCTTCATAATGGCCATTCACATGCAATTTACCGTCGTCTATGGACGGCACAGTCTTATCAGCGCAGATCCTTACTCAACGCACTCAACGTTGCTCAATCAGGTACAATTCCCGGTGTGTGTGCTTTGTTTACTTAAAGATTTGTGGCTTAAATGAAAATTGAACTAGTCTAGCGAAACACTGGACAACATGTTTGCTCTACTTCCAGCTAATGTTGTATATAAGTCTTTTTTAGTCAGTTCATGTTTCAGATAATCAGAAGATTTATTATAGTGGATTACAAAATAAATAAATAAATAAGAAAAGATCAATAGCACAGATAGAATGAAAAGTGTAAAATAAAAAATGACTTCTTAGAAATATAAAAAAAATCGCAAATATCAGAAAAGAAAAAAACACACAAACAATCTAGTGACTTGCAAAGAAATAATTGAAATTATTAAGAAAAAAGTAGGTTTATTAGAGACATGATATACTCTTGACAAAATATACCTAGAAGAATAAATTATATAATCTATATATATAAACCAAGCTCTATTTGATAGAGCAGACTGTATATAAAAAGTAGTTTGAAAGTCTGGGCATAGAAACAGAAGGGAAAGGCAGACTCATCGAGATAGCATGTGCTGTACGTAATATCTATTGCTATTACCTGTTGAGCAGAGCATATCAATTTCCCCACCTGAACTGATATACATAACAATGGCTTGTTTACACCTCTAGAGTATTAATATTTACGATCGTTTTCCTGCGGCATATAAACAATCAAGTTTACAGTCGTCTACAATGAAGTGTCTCAAGTTTGGCAAACTTCTCGATTTCCAATGGATCGCATAACTTCCTCGCCTTCACTTGTTTAAACAGCATATATATATATGCATGTATATATGTTCATATACATATATATAATGATCGAATAGTGGACCTTACCCAGTGATCTACACTTGCGACAAACACTTCATGCCATACAATCTAGTATATATATATATACATATATATATTTTATTGTTTTCTTAAATGAATCATATAAAGTGGCAAATTTGTTGGCCAAATGTGCGAGTCTTTAACTATATATGTGCTGTATGATCAAATTGCGATCAGTTGGCGATCGCAGCTCGTGTGGGCAGCAGCCAGAAGTGAAGCAAAATAGGTTAAAAAATATTGACAGACTCGTGTTTGCGTTTTGTGGCCAATTGTTTCAATAGAAAGCCGCGATCGATCGCGCTCGAGGTCAGGCCTGAAGATGATCACAAAAAAAGAGAAGCAGAGGAAGAAAAAGAAGAGAAGCGAAGCGAAAAAAAATGAAAATAAATAAAACCGAATGCGAGTCGATCTCGTTCGCTTGATCAGCGTCGATCAGCGTCAGCGTCTAAATATAGATTTCGACCATATTTGATGATAAATATTGGCAATGAATGGCTACGACTGACAACAACCGGACCTACCTCAACCTGCACAGCCATAAGTATCTGTGGCGCTGGCTGTGGCTGTTGCACGTGCGTCAAACCACGCGCAACAGACGCGACAACATGTCAGACAGCAGCCCCCACGCGGCATGCAACATTTTTGCAGCAACTGCGCGGCTGCCTCTGCTGCTGCTGTTGTTGCTGCTGCCTTAATAAGTTTTAATCTATTTGTCAATATTTCCTTGTTTAGTTCTCAAACATTGCACATGTCTATCTGCATCTGTATTTGTATCTGTATCTGTATCTGTATCTGTATTGTGTGTGCTGCGTATCTTTTGGGCCTCGTCGCCGCGGCACACAATGCCCGCGTATTCATAAACAAGGCAACTCCAACTCCATTGCCATCTCCTACTCCCATTCCGTTTCTGACTCCTTGGCAGGCCTCAGGCCCTCATCTAGTGCCGCTGCCACTTTGCCACTTCCACTGGGCTGCCATGCGCCGTTGCAAACATTTTTTCTTTCGTATGCCCTAGCACTGGGTCTCAGCCAATTCACACAGATTCTGGATCTCCGAGCCATAGAGCCATATTATACGACCTTCTAGCCTAACAATCTTTGCCTTCTTGGAAACTGTGCGCTTAGCCAAAATATGTGATTAAATCTTATCAACGTCGTGCTATGTGATATAGAAACAATCAATCAAGCAATTAGGTTAATTTGTTTTGCAAAAATTTTGATTAGATAAGCGCACTGCAAGCACGCTTAAGCAGCTAAAACTGTTTGCCTAAATCTAAGCAGTTAACTTACTGCTAAATTATAATACAATATCATGTGTGGTCTCTAGAGGAACTGCTAAATTGTCGACTTCTTGAAACTGTCTAAAGCAGTTATTAAAGAACTGATAGAATAGTTTTTTAGAGCATTCAGAGTTCGGCTCTGTTGCTGCTGTTGCTGCTGTTGCTGCTGCTGCCTTTTCGTCTTCTTTTCTTCATCGTGCGTTTTGTTTGTCTTCGCTGTTGTGTACGAATGCGTTGCGCCGGATTCCTCTGCTGCCGCCCGCCAGCTTCCAACGCCTTCGTCTGTTTGGCGTCCGTGCAAACTGTCGTCATTGTATTGTCATATTTCTCTGCTGCATGTGGCCATCAGAAAATAGGCACCTCCCTACACCCCCGCCACGCTGTCCCTACCCCTGTGTGGCACTGGCTGTTCGTTTGTTTGTTTGTTTGTCGTTGCTGGTTCCTTAGCTGTTGTCTGGGCGCAGAAAGTAAAAGTTGCGTCTTCTGTGTGGCCTAATAGAGTTGCCACAAGTTGCAAGTGCCACAACATTGTGCAACATCATTCTCTAAGCATTCATCTAATGCCCGCAACATTTTCCATTGCCATTTTTCTCTTTCAACTAACTGTAAAGTCCCTTGGTACAAACTTTTGTCTTGCATCGGAATCGAATTTTTTCGCAGTTTGCCTTTGGCTTGGCCTCTAGCTTGATTTAAGATCTTTAATATTTGACGTAAGAAAACTAAATGTTTTCTGATCTTTTGTTTGTCTTATCGTTTTGAATGTTTCTCAAAGTTATTTTTCATAAATTTGAGTATTAAATAACAATTATTTAGCATATATGCATATATATCGTCTAGATCGATTTCGATATGGAAAAATACCAGTTCTTTGGGCCTGGCAACGTGTCGGAAAGTGTGTCAAATGTGTCTTAAACATGTCTCCAGCCAATTGGAACACTGACCTTGCGCACACTGATTTGCATTGTGGCCGTAGCAGCGAACAGTTATAGATACCGTATCTGAAAGATACGCAGCTAACCAAGCAACCGTATCGGCCCTCAATTGATGATGATGATGGCCAGCTAACTGGCACGAGCAGCAATGATGAGTGCAAAGGATACTCGATATGCAATGGCAGATATTATGTATATATCACACACACACATATATATATATATATACATATATATATCTATATATTTAGGTGCGGGCTGCATGACATATGCATTTCAATTATGGCGAATCGACGCTTATCAGAAAAACATTTCAATTGATTTATTGAGGCATCAATTGAGTCTATGCAAAGAATGCGATCGCCTTGGCGACACTCGAGATGCGAACGCGCCAATTCACCTTCAGCCTCAATTTACAGCAGCCGAGCAGCGCCGCGAGCAGCGCAGCCTGTGCGTGCCGCGTCGCTTATCAACGGCAAGCAGCCAGCAGCAGCGAACGTTGCGCGTTTATCACAGCGCGCAGCGACTCAGAAACAAAGGCGAGAAACTGCGGCTGTATTAGATAAGCGGCAGTGAGCACAATTTTATGCGGCTGTATTTGCTAACTATCTGTATCTGTCGAGCCGTGCCTTAGCTCAAGCCGGCAGCTGTGCGCAGCTGTCGTTTTGCTCGCTGTCATATCTGCTCCATCTATATCGGTATATTTATATATATATATATATTTATCTGTACATAAACAATCTAGCTATCTGTATCTTAGGGTTATGGACGCGCACGCCATCTTCAATTTATTTTTCAATATCGTTTAATTAACTTCAATTTGACGCCGATTTAACCTATTTCCGTCTTGTTACCTTAGCATAAATCAAATCGAAATTAATAAACAATCGTTCAGATTTTGTATTATCAACTCTGAACTGGAACTGGAACAGAGCAGGCAACTGGAACTTGGTCTGAAATTTAATGCCTTACTCAACTCTTTTGTCATACTCACAGCTCTTGTTGTTGTTGTTGCTGCTGCTGTGTCATGTGTCGCTTTTTGCTAATGAGCCGGTCCACCAAATGGTAAACATAAACAAGATACATCAACAAGTTGGTAAAACTCGATGCCCTCGATGCGAAGCACAAATGCTCTTTGTCTAATAAATATTTGGATTGTTCAATGCTGTCAAAATACCAAAATTCCATATGCGATGTTAATTTTTTTTTTTTTTTTTTTTTTTTTTTTTGTTACCAACGTTTCGAATCGAGCCTGCAATTCCAACTGGAAACAAGCCCAAAGTTGGAAACAGTTGAACCTCGTTTTCTCTTTCTGTTTGGTTCCACAAAGTCTGCGCGTATAGCACAGATCTTGCTTTTGCTTTTCTTTCAGAACTGTTTTGTTTCCACTATTCCCATTGGTTGAACTTTGAGTTTCATATTCATTAAGTTTGAGTTTCATTATCATTAAAATTTTTCTATTCAGTTTTTCTCTTAGTTTCACATTTTGTTTTGATTTGCTTTTTATCGTTTCAAGTTCAATGCAGATTTATGTTCCATTTTCCTATTGTGTTCCCAGCTCACTTTCACATGTTTTATTTTTCATACTTCCCTTGTTCTCATTTCAAATTGTTCCACACGCTTTTATGGCGCACCTTTTTGTTTCGTCGTTTGTTCTTATACCAAATTGTTCCACTCGCTTTAATGCACATGTTTAAGCATACGCCACTCTTTGTTTCATTCCAAACTATTCAACATGCTTCTATTGCATGCTTATTGGCTCAGCCTGCCTCTGTTCCGATTCCATACTGTTCCAACTGCTTTTATTGCACACTTATATCTATCCTCTTCTTTTGTTCTTATTCCAAACAATTCCACAGACTGTCTCAAACTGTTGTGTTGTAAGTTTTCACCATTTTTTGTTCTCATTCCAAGCTGTTCCACTCGCTTATAGAGTATTTCCGTACACCCCACACATCTGTAATTCATTTACATGATTCACTTTCCATTGTTTCACATAGCGATGTGTTCCGCATTCCACAATCGTCATGTTTTTGCTAAGTTCTCGACCAATGCCCAAATTTAGTAATAAAATCGTGTATGTAGATTATACAATTTGATTTGTGACTGAGATTTGAAGCTATTTGATTCACTTTCCAGTGAGATTTGGATCTGTGGTTGCACACAAAAGCCGAGGCGCATTTCGTGTCTTGGCAATGCGCCTCATGACAAATTCAAGCCACTCGGCAATGTGCATAGAGTGTAAATCATATAATAAACAATTTATATACACAATGGAGCTTAAATAAATAAAACTCCCGAGACAAAATCTCATTTCGTATGCATTTAAGCTTCAGTAATGAGCTGCGATTGCTCTGCGGCTGCGCAGCGACTGCGAGGCAAGCGAAGCGGCAGCTGCGACGATTTCACGCGTCTTTTTTTCTTTCACGCGTTTTTCGTTTTATTGTTGACTTTTTTATTTATTTTTATTTTTGTGACATTTTTGCTTTTAATTGGTTGAATTAAAATACCCTCGGAAATAGGCTGATTTTTAATTGAGGCATATTTTTTTAAGATTTGATTTGGATATAAAATATAAAATATAAAATTAAATATAAATATAAATATAAAATAGAAAAATATAAAATAAAAATTCAAATATAAAAGATAATCTAAAAAAAAGAAAAATATAAATAAACTAAAAAAAGAAAAAATAAAAGATAAAATATAATATAAAGAGAAAATAAAAATAAAAAAAGAGAAAATATAAAAAAAAAAAAAATCCCTCTCCCCTTACCCTCTCCCCTCTCCCCTCTCCTCTCCCCTCTCCCTCTCCCCCTCCCTCTCCACTCTCCCCTTCCCCTACTACCTTCCCATCCACCCATATAAAATCTCCCTTCCCCCTCCCCTCCCCCCTCTCCCCTCTCCCCTTCATAACATCTCCCATATAACCTCTCTCCCCATCTACACTATCCCTCTCCCCTACTCCCCTCTCCCTCTCCCCTCCCTATCCCCTCCCCTCTCCCCTCTCACATCTTCTCACCTTCCCATCTCCACTCTCCCTCTCCCCTATCCCCTCTCCCTCTCCCCTATCCCCTATACCTATCAATATCACTATACAATCTAAAATATCAAATCTCCCTCTCCACCCTATCAATCGTTTACGAGGAGTTTTCGGGTATCTAGACGTTGTCCTTTCTTCTCTGCCTCGCCTTTCCCTTTTGTGTGCTGGCTGCTTTCACGTGTGCGTCTAGTTCGCCTGCCGTTCACGTTGCTTTTTGGTCTGTTGTCTGTTATCAAAACGTGTAAATCGCGCGCACTTAAATTTGCAATTCGACTTCCGTCAACTGCTGAGGAATTTTGAACAGGCTCTTGAGCTTGCTGAGGTAGTTAACAAACAAAAAAAATACAAGTAAAAACTGAAATAAAAAATAAATATAAAAATGGCATTAAGCAAGAAAATGAGTAAAATGGTTATGTAAATGCAAATGGAAATGGAAACGAAAATGAAATTGTAATTAATGAGCATAAAATGCGGAAAATTGTGGAAAATACTTGAAACAAGTTTCCACATTTCATTTTTTTCATGCGTTGCGCGACGCAAACGGGACAAACAGTCAGACGGAGTCAGCACATCCAGACAGAGAGACAGACGCAGACACAGACACAGAGCCGCAGACCAGATGGACAAACGGACCGACGGGCAGACATCGTCAAACATCTCGGCAATGTTTGGACAGTGCGATTGCTCCGTTAACCGTTAGCTGTATTTGTTTTTTTTTTCTTTTTTTTTTAATTAAAAGTACGAGTATCTGCAAGATACATTCACTTTTTATGCGGCTTATTGCGCCCGGTGTGTGAGAGGCGCCGCGGCTGACACTCAATTGGCCAGCACTTCACAAATTCGTAATGAGCATATGGTCTTCATAAATCATAACCAACAATTGTTTTTAAGGCCAATCAGCTAACTAATACGCTCTGTGTGATATCTTTTTACCGACTGGATTGGACGGCATCGCAACGTCATTTCGCGTTTAAATAGTTTTGAAGTACAAATTGATGGTAAATATCATGTAAGGGGAAGTTGTTTTATAGCTCGACAGACTTTCATAATTTAATCATTAAGAATGGCAGACGGGCGTTACTCGATCAAGAGGGACTCTGCAGTAGCGCCTTCGCCTAAGCCCTATAACGTCCTATACAGTCCCTATAACGCTCACTCTCCAGCAATAAATAACCTCGACTACTTATAAATCCAGCACTAACTCGTTGTCAATCTTTTTTTATCCACAGCTGCCCAGCACGTACCAAACATATTGCCTGTATGTGTGACAGTGTGTGTGTGTAGCTGTGTCTATGTGTGTGCTGCCCACCTGCCGCATAGGCAAATCGAGCACGTTAATTAAATGTCAACAGTTTGGAAATTGAGAAGCGCGCGGGTCGCGAAAGGACGCGGAGTTGAGAGCGAAATTGAAACCGAAACCGAAACCGAAACCGAAACTGAGACCGAAGCGGAGGCAGAGACCAAAGCTGAAGAGGAAGCAGCAGAGGAGGCAGCAACAGCGGAGGCAGCAACAGCAGCAGCAGTAAAAGACGACAGCAACGAATTGAAATTGTGCAAAATGTTTGCATGACTGTCAAATAAATCATAAGAAGCGCAACAACACAAACGAAACAACAACAGCAACTTGCCACAACAGCAACGACTAGCAAGAACGACAACATGGTTAATGCAGTGATGGATGCCATTGCGGTAAGTGTCCAACTGTCCAGTTGTCCAGTTGTCCCATATCCAGTGCCGCCGTAATAAGTCCCCGAGCTCGTTTAATTTAATTTTATAATAAATACACGAACAAAATATACATATTATTTCAAATGCCCTTGCTTAGGGCATTATAAGCCACTCGAGCACTATGTAACGCAGATGATAATAGTTGGATCAGTACAAACAGCTGAGTCGATTTGACTCTGTTAAGAAGCAGACATCTCTGTCTCAATTTTACTTTCAATGTATGTAAATTATATATGTATATCACAGCTAGATATATAGATATAAATATATATATATCAAAATATTTTTTTTTGTCATCTACTGCTACTCTTCAAATACCTCAATCAATTTACACAAATCTTATCTAGATCGAACAAGTATATATTATATATATATATTACACTAGATAATATAGATAGATACTATATCTTATGGTGCAACTACTATATAGTTGTAACTATGTATATATATATATATATCTATATATATTCATCTACTTCATCTGCTCATCAAACATCACAATCATCTAGAAATCTTGCTTGACTTGGCTATGCACAAGTCTGTTCCATACACAAATCTTAGCTATATCCAACTACTGTCTATATATTCATATATACAGTTACATATTCGTCTAACTAACTACATCTTCTTCATGTCACATCATTTCTATCGCCTCAGCTTCAATTCTCTGCAATTCATTTGCTTCAAATAGAGCTTAACAAATTTATATATATAATGCCCAAGGCGATTCCAATTTGACTAAAGCTGCTGTGGCTGTTATCTATAGCATATATTTATAGAGTATTTAAGCTTCAGTTTTCGACTTGTTTTTCCTTCGTTTTTTACTTTTAATTTTATGATTCCTAAATTGAAATTGCAGTCGCAGCCAATTGAAGTTTTGTTTGTACTTCAAACAAGAAACTCGGTGATTGTCGTTTATATATATATATATATATATATTCTCTCTCTCTCTTTCTCTCTCTCTCTCTCTATCTGTCTCTTGGTATGTGTGTTTTTTTGCGCTGCTTTGCCCACATTTTCAATTTGAATTTGTTTGCTGTGGCAATTGCTCAATTGGCTGGCCTGTCTACATGCCGTCCGTGTGTGCGTGTGTGTGTGTGTGTATGTGTGTGCTTAAGTGCCTGAGTGTGTGTTGCACATTACACGCTAAGCCATGTGTTTAAGGCCTTTTTTCTCCTCAAAATTTGCATATTGAGGTATAAAACGACACTGCACGCTGCACATTAAGCGTGCAATGAGGCGTATGCGTGCTGTGCTGCAGCTTGCAACACGTGTGCCACATAAATGGGCTATTAAAGCCTGAGCAAATTAGAGACACGCATAGAGCATGGAGCAGAGGCATAAAGCAAAGGAAGAAAATATGGAAAATGGCAGTTGAACTTTTACTATAAATACCTGGGCCTATATACCTATATATACACACTTATATATATATATATATATATATATATATATATACATATACATATATATTTATTATATTATTTTAAGGAATGCATTGCAGAAATGTTTGTTATTTCCCTTATCAGTCTTAATTGTAATAGCTATTATCTGTGTGGTTTTATCTGGCATTAGTTTGATAGTAAATTAGAAGTGCTATCTTAACATTCTAAAGCGCATTCCCATTGTCGGCTAGAGCGGATTCACTTCGGGTTTTCCACTTGAATTTTGAGCGCATAAAATTTGCATAGTGCTGGCTGGCAACTGCTGCAAGCTTTTTGGCCAATGCGAACTGCACAAAGGCCACAAACTGTACGAATATTTATAAATACCAACAATAGCAACAACAAAATGAAACAAAATATATAAGAAGTAGAGGAAAGACAGAAAAAAAGGCGAAAAAAAAATAATAAATACCAAAATAAACGCCTCGAAAAAGACGCCAACTGAAACCGAAAAACAGAAAACAGAAGTGGAGCTCAAATTAGCACAGAGCGTGGGAGCCGGTTTCGCAGTTGTATGAATTTGTGGCATTAAGCGTGCTGCACGTTGCACGGTGCCTAGGTGCCTGGCTGCCTAGGTGCTTGACGCATGTGGAGATGGCCAAAAAAAAACAAGAAGAAGGAAACCCGTTATTATAGGCGCGTAATTATTGCGAGGCGTTGCGTTATCGCCAGCCTCGTCAAGGCCTGCCCCACTCGATGGCAGCCCGGCCGGAAGTCAAGACCAGTTCGTACGTATCATGTCCAGCGGCTGCAGTTGCAGTTGCGGCTGCCTTTTGGCGCTTTGTTTGTGTAACGGAAATTCCTCACGCAGGCCGGCTTCAACTGCCTAGACTAAGGGGCCATGATTTGGCAAGTCAAGAGAGCAGCAGCAGCAGCAACAGCAACTATAGAGCACATAAAATATGAGAAAAAGCCAATAGCTGACGGCAGCCAAAGTCGTTTCTCATGGCCAGTCGAGGCGTCAGCACTTGATTGTCTGTGTCAAGTCGATGGCTGCTTGAGACATCCGTTCATTAACCCACAAACCTGACAGATTTGCATAGAACTTGATTACCAATCGATTCCGATAGCTGTTGCAACTCTTTTTCGTTCTGCTTCTGCTTCGACTTCTTGTTCTTGTTCGCTGATTGCCTGGGAGCCAAGTGGTATTGCTCGAAATATATTTGTCCACGTTTCGCAAGAAATGTTTCTTCAATTATATATATATATATATATATATACTATATATATATATATATATATATATATATATATATATATATATATATATATATATATATAACACGAGTTAGATACCCAGAGTTAGAGAAAGAGTAAGACTTAGAGTTAGCGCTTCCTTCTTGGCCCACATCAGTGGACTTACATTTTTGAGAATCGCCAAGAAGGGCAAATTTGTAAAATTATGAAAACTAAGAAATGTTCTATAGAACAACAAATGCAAGCACAAAGTGATTTGATCAGGAGCTGAGGCGCTTATATGAGACATAACACCCGGCCTTGTGCGGACTTTTCATATGAGCAAATTAATTTTTCAATTATTAAAAGCACTTTTTTGTTCTAGTCTATTTTTCCATACTTTTTCCTAAACATTTCCAATTTCATATTTTTTTTTTTCCTTTGCTTTGCTCTTTGCAGCTGCTCAGCTCGCTGGCCAGCGATCTGGATGTAATGCTAAATGATTTGCGCTCAGCGCCCAATCATGGTACAACAACAACGGCGGCAACAGCAGCAGCAATGACAACAGCAACCATGCAACAACAACAACAGCCACAGCAGCAGCAGCAGTTTCATCAGCAACATTCAAGGCAATTGCAGCTACAGCATTGGCAAAGCATTAACAACAACAACAATAACAATAACAACTTTAGCTACAACAACAACAAATACAATAGCAGCAGCAACATACAACTGCCACGCCCACAATACTTAAGTGATATCAAATTGAGGCCTGTCAAAACGGGCACATTACCAACGGCAGCAGCAACAACAGCAACACAGCAACATCAGCAACAACAGCAACAGCAACAATCGAATGGCTTTCAGCGTCGTCGCTTGGCCACAAAGTCAACGCCGCCGCCGCCGCAGCGTCGCTCCACGCGTCGCATGCGCAGCGAACAGCAGCAACAGCAGCAGCAGCAGCTGCGCGAGGAGCTCGAAACTGATGCTGATGACACGGATGCTAGCGAATTGGCCAATATGACGTCACCGCTGAGTGCCAGTGCGGCTGCCACGCGCATCATTGGGCTATCGCCGGACGTTAAAAAATTGCAGAAGCTGCCGCTCTGGTGCCGCAACAACAACAACAACAACAACAACAGCAACATCAGCAGCAGCAACGGCAACAGCAACAATAACAATAACAATGGTAGCAGCAATGCAGTCAGCGCTATAGCAGCGCAGCGTCGTTTAACAGCAGCAACAACAACAACAACAACAACAACAAAACGCCACATTCAACTGCATCACAGGTAAGTGTAGCAAGCGTGACAACTTTGCTCTAGACATAAGTCCATAAGGAAGTGGACTCTTTCCCACATCTGCTTAGTCATGCAGAATTCAAATTTGGGCCAAGAAAATACTGAGAACGCGTCGAACTGACCGGCGATTGGGGGATGAGCATGGCCTTGTGCATGGCCCGTGCATAGAACCAGGAAGGTGATGCGCCGTGGGTGTGCTAGCCGTGACTCAGGCCGCTGTGTGTGCACAGCTATACATACATGCCTCACATACACACAGAGGCACAATCACATTCGCAGTCGCAGTCACAGTTCAGTCTGCGGAATGGTTCATGCATCGTTGAGCGCTTCATGCGAATGGCAAATGCTTGAATGCCTGCAAGGTGCCTACCTAGGCAGTCAGTCTGAAATTGCAGGGCAGCAGCGTAGCTCAATTAAAGGAGCATGCTCGACTAGAGGATGCCCTGCCGGCATGCTATATGCTAAACAATGCTAATCCATATCGAGTACTGAGCAAACGATATTTATCGATTCTAGCCAAACAAAGTTACCGATTGTCTGCATCTGTAACAGCAGTTGCATGTATAGTGGCTAGACCTAATAGAATACATGTCTTTAGCTCGAAGATACGCACATTCTTAAGCTCGCAGCATACACCTCATTGCGCTTTGACTACAGGGTATACACAAATAAAACAATCGAGTCAGAGACAATGGAGAATTCCTTATCTAATTACAAGCATTACAAGTGTGTATTTAAATGTTCAGTCAGTTTATCTTGTATCCATCCGAGGATAATTTCAGCTTAAATAATACCTTGAACTTACATTTCGAGTTCATTTTCTTGTTGACTATGACAAATAAGCTTCAGTGAAGAAGTAGATTGTGCCCTTGTGTGTACATATAAGAAAGTTGTAGTTGTAGGCTATCTACAGCTAAGTTGCAAGATCAGCTATATAAGCATAACAGCATAATGAACACAGATATACTTGGGTAATATGTAGAACTTAGAGAGAGTTTATTATACTGTTTGTAGAGCTATCTGACCTATATCTTTATGCATTTTCATATATTCTGGATAGGTCGATTTTATTGCTCTCTTTTTATTTAATATATAAGAGGCAAAGGAAGGCGTGGCAGGGCGTTTAGTTGATTTGATCTAGACTTGTCCCTGAACTAAAAAAGCTACTGAGCTGAAAACTTGAATGCCTATGTCTACTTATCGAAATTGAACGATAACACTTGATCGATAATTGTTAACTATTAGATTGGATTTTTGAGTGTAACTTGAGATGGAGATTTTTAATTTAGATTTCTATGTTAAATACTCAGATATGTATATACACATGTTTTAGAGCTGAAAAGTTGGATGCATGGTTCAATCTATCGAAATTGATCGATAACACATGCCAACTCATTATGATCAATAATTGTCCACAATTTTATTTTAATCAAATTAATCAAGTGTGTGTGTATGTCTATGATAGGCCATGTATATATGAAAGAAGGCGCAAAATGATTGGAATATCAGGGTCAGGGCATGTCCTAGTCGGACACTCCCGACTAGAGTAGTGAATTTGATCAAGTGATCAATTAATTAAGTATTACATCAATCATTATTATATGTATACACACAAAACTATATATATATATATCTATATATGGCTATTATAATATGTTAATACACCTTTCACTTTGTTGATTTGAATTCGAATTCACTTCAAGCTTCAAGCCAACTAGTTAGTTGTCTAACTTCAGTTTTGAAATGTCAAAGGCAAATTGCATTTGACATCGAGCTTGTTCTTGCCAGGGATTCGGTGGGCATGCGGCCAAAGCTAAAATCCCAGCTCGCTTAAGCTGGACGCGTCAAAAACTAAACAGAAAAATATTTTTGTAATCCATATAAGGCGCAATATGTTTAGCATATAAATTATGAGGCCAGTCAGCGGCAGATGCTGAAGAAGTTGGAGAACTACAAAACAAATCCCAGTTGCCCTTGCACCCGCCCGGACGCCACTCCAACACGCACATACAAGACCCTCGTCGCGTTTAGTGGCTGTTGTTGCTTTTGCTGTTTCGTAATCGTCGTAGGCGTCACATGAATTCGGCTCAAGACATTTTGGCCAAAAAACAAAACAACAGCTAACAAACGGAAGGCGGGGTCTGGCAAATATGTTAAAATGAAGTGTTATATATTTTATGTGGCTGGCCGCAACAGCAGCAGCAGCAAGACGAAGAACAACAACAACAACAACAACCAATAACAATTTACAACAATATCCCTTGACAAGAACAAATACAACGGGCCATAAACTTAAGTAAATATGAATATGGACATGGCTAGGATGACGATGGCTTCTTCAGTTTCAGCTTGTTGACAGCCACACAGCCAAGCATTACGGAACCCATCCAAGCAACCAACACAACACAACCCCGAGCTGGGCGTGGCTGGTATGAGGGGGTTGTCTGTATGGCATTGCAAAGGGTTGTGACTTTTGTGTCTTTAGCTATTTATTAAATTTGTTTGCCAACACAAACACTCTCCACTGATATGCGGACTGAGAAAACGTCTCTATGTATATTATATATATGTATATTATGTATATGGGCGGGCAGGAACTGCTAACAGGACCAGCAAAACATGAGCTGCGTAACTAATTTGCTTAAAGTGCACGATGGCTCATCAGCGACATTGATGGCACAGTGGTCTTGCAGCTATGTCAAACTGCGAGCAAGGATTTGAGTAGATGGAGATAGATCTAGAAACTGATTGAAAGAAAACTTAGTTTTTAGCTGATGTTAGTGTAAAGGAATGTATATATATAACGATGTATATTAAAGATGTAATCGACATATAGCAGATTTTCTGAAAAGCTTCACATACATCACATAAGTCACATACATCACACATATCATATACATTGCATACATACATCCCTTACTTCACATACATCACATACATCACATACATCACATACATCACATATATCACATACATCACATGCATCACTTACCACTCATGTATCACATACATCACATATATCACGTACATCAAATACATCACATATATCACATACATTACATGCATCACATACATCTCATGTATCACATACATCACATACATCACATACATCACATATGTCACATACATCACATGCATCACATACATCTCATGTATCACATACATCACATATATCACATACATCACTTGCATCACATACATCTCATGTATCACATACGTCACATATATCATGTACATCGCATACATCACATATATCACATACATCACATGCATCACATACATCTCATGTATCACATACATCACATACATCACATACATCACATATGTCACATACATCACATACATCACATGCATCACATACATCTCATGTATCACATACATCACATATATCACATACATCACATATATCACATACATCACATACATCACATACATCACATACATCACATGCATCACATTCATCTCATGTATCACATACATCACATGCATCACATACATCTCATGTATCACATACATCACATACATCACATACATCACATACATCACATACATCACATACATCACATGCATCACATACATCTCATGTATCACATACATCACATATATCACATACATCACATATATCACATACATCACATACATCACATACATCACATACATCACATGCATCACATTCATCTCATGTATCACATACATCACATGCATCACATACATCTCATGTATCACATATATCACATACATCACATACATCACATATGTCACATACATCACATGCAATACATACATCTCATGTACCACATACATCACATATATCACATACATAACATATATCACATACATCACTTGCATCACATACATCTCATGTATCACATACATCACATACATCACATGCATCACATTCATCTCATGTATCACATACATCACATGCATCACATACATCTCATGTATCACATACATCACATACATCACATACATCACATATGTCACATACATCACATGCATCACATACATCTCATGTATCACATACATCACATATATCACATACATCACATATATCACATACATCACATATATCACATACATCACATACATCACATACATCACATACATCACATGCATCACATACATCTCATGTATCACATACATCACATATATCACATACATCACATACATCACATGCATCACATACATCTCATGTATCACATACATCACATGCATCAGGATTATGCCCTCTACAGCTACAAATATCATATCAAGAGTATTGATATATAGGCAACTATTGTATTTTTAACCACTGTGCAACTGTTACTCACTTCCATACACACAAACACTCACACACACACTTATTTATACACTTCGCAGCCGCAGCAAACTTTTTGCTTCAAAGTGTTTTGTGGTTCACATGCAATGAGCCCAAACAGAAATGAAAAGGAGTGAGCGTTATGGTTGAGGGCGGCTGGCAAGTGGGTGGTTGTGGGTGGCTGTGGGCTTGTGGGGTATTTACAGCCAAGCTGATGACGTCTAAGACAAGCTGGCGCTTTTGAACGCTTGAGCGTTGCGTCTGAGCAACAAATGGATGGCATCTTTCAATCTCGCAAACAGCGACAGGTGTTTGCTTTATTAACTTGCAAATACAGCCACGCCCACCTATGTGTGGTTGACATCTAAACAGATTAAAATAATTAATTTATACGAATTGTTGTCGTTGCTGTAGCAGAATTTGAGGCTAATTGTTGTTGCCGTTGTTGTTGTCGACGGCGCATTGTTAGCCAACTAATTTAAGCTTTTTTGTCAGCGCCTAATCAAATTAATTAACTTTGCATGCGCGCATTAATCAAAATGCATAAGTATTTAAATGGAGCTAGTGTGTAAGAGAGAGAGAGTGTGTGTGTGTGTGTGTGTATATGTTTTAGCTGTGTGCGTCTGCTTTTTCAGCTAGCTTTAAGCCTCAAAGCCATCACTGATGCCTAGTGATAAATTTGTCTCAAAAG